TATATATATATATATATATATATATATATATATATATATATATATATATATAAAATGAAGAATCATTAATTAATCTTATTCTTTTTCTTATTGAGGTTTTGATAGTCCTTAGAGGATTTTGTTTGATGCTCCATTTGTTATTTCCCAGGTAGCAGAAGCTTCTGAATCGGCGTCTTAGAAATCTTGAAAAGACGTCTCTTAAAAGTTTCTACTATCTGGGTTCATGTTTGAGTAAGTTTCGCAATTTGCATTTTGTGTCGACTCTTATTGGCTGTCCTCATTTGCAACTGGAATAATAGCGAGCGACGCAGATGGATATGCGATCCAATGGCGCATAATAAGTCGTTAATTATTCTCGTGAAAGGCGTTAACTGCAAAAGACGCGAACATTGACCAGTTGATTCCGATTAAATTGTACAAACGGACGAGTCTTAGTGCGTTCGTTGAGTTTCACACAATTTTCTTTCCTCGACAGACCTGAACCAGCTTAGACTGACGCGACCAACTGTCGCGACTGACGTGTCGTGGAGTCGTAGGTCTTGCGTGATACTTCCCTGTATCCTAGGCAGCGGGAGCGAGAGCGAATCGTTCCGCAAGGTGGTGGCACCTGTCGGAACCATAATCGTCGTGTTGCATAGAAACAGGCGTCCGCACCTGGCGAACGCGGTTACGTTAATGAACGTCGGTGTTTGCCTTGCACATTTCATGCCTTAGCTGGCGCGCAACTATGACGTCAGGGCTACTCTAATCGGAGGAGAGTCTCCTTAGCAGCGCGACCATAATAACGTGCAGCGTAACGGCATATTAATTCGTAATACCCGTTTATCCGTAACCGACAGTGGATCGACGTGTCGCGGCTCGAATGACCTTTGTCGAACCGAGCTCGCTTCCGTGCGAGTCAAGCTAATGATCGCACAAATTCGTCGATAATTCATCTTTTCCTCGTCCAGCCGATTTTCGCAGTTGCCCCACTCGCGCTGTAAACAAAAAATGAACATTTCTTTAACGGAAATTAATTTTCTAAGAATAATCATAATAAACTATGATAATTATTTTACTGATATAAGGAGACAATTTCCAAATACGTATAGAGAAAATATCGTATTAAGAATTACAACAATACTTTTGTAATCTCGAACCATACAGATTTATGACGAAATTATTATATATTTTATTCAAAATTGCTAATGCATGTTTAACGTTTTACTATAAAATTATTTTAATTACTATTCATGGAGTACCAGACAAACAAATTTAAACCGACCTGCGCTTTTAACGATGTTTTGCTAACGATCACGGCAGTATGAATCTTGGGAGAGGACTTATTCTTTCGCTTACTGAATTACTCGTTTGACACCTTCGTCTACCTTGAACACGATGCGACGTGCCACATCGCGGGGATCCATAACGCTCGCGCGTTCGCGGAGATTTCAATTCCTATCTACGCGATTTCGCGAAAGATCTCTCTCGATCGGGCGTTGATATCTCCGCGCAGGCGGACGCACCGAACCAAAAGCGCAGCCCACTCTCTCGGCTCGTGTCGAAACGCTCTAATTTGCCCGCCTTTGTAGCGATACCACGTCGGAACAATGCCTGGCGTCAACTGTCATGAGGAAAATGCATTGCGACACGAGAACGACACGTTGCAACGCGATACTGCGATTGTCGAGGAAGAAAAGGCGGGATTCGCACGAGATCGCAATGGGCCCCACGTGAACATCGCACAGCAACATTGCACCCAATATCTCGATTTTTGTCAAGACACCAGAATACAATGTTACCACCAGCTGACCGACTCGCCGAGAGAATCGGCGTTAAAAGTTAATACAAACGTACGACGTGTATAAATAGTTATGAGTAAACGTTGAAGTAAATCTGGCACAAGGTTGCGAGTGGCGAGCTGCCAGCGACTTGCCACTGTGAGTTTAGTATCGTGTTACTGGCTTTTCTCGCCAAGTCAACGGGTCGTATACGTCATTACTGAAGATTGATCCCTGGCTAATGGAAGCCGCGGTCGCTCCTACACCGCTTTCCAAATCGCCCAAGCGTCCCGCCGCCGCAGTACTCGATGAGATGAAACAACGAGTGTCTCCTATTTATCCTTATCTTGAGTACTTGATCGAGTCTATCAAGTCGCTGCGACCTACTATCGGTACAGTAGCTCTCGTCTACACCGATGTTTCATCGGGCCTGAAGACCTCCTGGCTTGGACCCTTCGAGTCGTCTTCAAGCTAGTTTCTGGGGCATCCTGTATACATGACATATTTCTCGATTAATCAAACTGATCAATTCATCGTCTTGGACTAAATAAAGTCTACCTTGTAGATATATTCGTCATACAATCGCTTTTGTAACAATTTTTATAATAAATCATTATACTGATCACACGTGAGTCTTGAGTGTGCCCCAGTTGACCTCGCGAGTGTTTATTTCGGAAAGTTAATTGACCGCATCCTATGACGTATCGCGTTTTCTCGAGAGACAATTCGGGATTCCAATACGGAAGGCCAAAATATCTAGACAGGAGGAGTATGAAGAATCGAAATACGCGTTGATTGATTGCACAGGTGACTTTTGAGTCTACAGCCGAGAGAAAACGCGATTTCTCGAATAGTATCATATCCGTGCTTTGGACGAGCCAGGAAGATTGGAGATTCTAAAATAGTTTACGCGCATCGTAGGACGAGGGAAGCGGGGCAAAAGCGACTTGGACGGTTCGCGCACGCTTGAAGCCGCGAATGCTTGGAGAAAACAAAGGCCAACCCGTGTCGTCATCGTCGGCGCGCGGCCTTCTCCGTCTGTGCGTTTCCCCGGCGGTCTGACCAGGGTGGCTCGGTCATTTGGTTTTTGACTTACACACCATATCAGTTGCTATATAGGGTTTGGCAGGGCGCCGGCGCCGCGCTCTATAAATAGCAGGTGCAACGCCAGCCGCCGTTCTCGCGCGCGCGTTCGCGGACAAAGTCAGGACGGGCCAGGGTGCGCGAGGGGAAGAGTTCGCGGCCGCCGAAGGGGCGAGAGTGGGTGGATAGGTGGGTGGGCGACAGTGGTTACGGACGGCAAGCGGCGCGGCAGTAGTAATGGATAGTAGTCTCGCGGCCGGTAGTAGTAAACGGCTGGCTACTCCTCGCGCGACCCTTCCGCTCCGAACCGGCCGCGCTCCGGACGATCAATCGAGCCGGCGAGAGGCACGACGCGAAGGGTGACGCGAAGCACGCGAGAAGCGTGCCGTACACTCGGCCTACCGACTCTTCGGGGTTGCTCTCCCCCGGGAGAACCTGGAACTCGGCCTCTGGACTCTCGGAGATCGCGTAAATGCGCCGCGGCAGACGGTGGACGACGAGCGAGCCGGAGAGAGACATCGGGGGATCGTCAGGAAGAGGTAGAGAAGTTCGACAGCAACCTCCGCGATCGGGAAGTCGAGGAGTTACGGTGGCGGTGGAGTCTCAGTGTCGCTGAATTCGTTTAAGGGCTCGTCGCCGTCGCGTAGGAGAAAGTGACGACGTTCCCGAGTCCTCGGGAGCGAGCGGCGGCCGAGTTCGAGGATCCTCGGGGTAGTTCTTAGGGTGCCAGTGGTCCAGGAGCGCGAGCTTCGTCGGCTCTCGACTATGTGCCGGCGTCTTGAGAGGATCCGGCTGCTGGGATCGTCGCCGGTGATCGTGCGCGGCGTCGTCGCGACGGAGCGCAAGACGTGACTCCGTTCAGGCGTCAGCTGATCCGACGAGGTCGCGGAAGACAAAGGAGGAGAGAGGTGATTATGTAAACTGTGAGCGTGCTGGAGATCCGCGAGGTTGATCCAGCCGCTTCGTGTTCTTCTCCGCCGCTGTCGCTTTCATCGTCGTCTCGCATTCGTCGTGCCGTTCACGGTCAGACCGGTGAATTCCCTCCCCGGCTCTTAAAGAGTGACTAATTATATTCGCCTCGTGTGCGACGAGGTTACTAACCAGCCAACCCTCCGGCCTGCGCCTGCGTGTACAGACAGTGTTTCCCCAAGAGGGAATACGAATGAATGATGTTTGATTCTCGGCAGAAGTGAAAGTCTCACCATTAGGTCGCAAAAAGCCCAACGAAACGAGATTCGCTGGTCTCTGGTACTATGAACAATCTATCAGACCATGTCAGAGTTCCAAGTAGAATTCAGTGTCGAGATTTGAGTACTCGAACTCCGAAACTTATGGTCTTGAGTAAAGATCCAAAATAAGTCCAAAAGTCGACGACCTAAAATCAAGCATTGTGAATTTTAGTAATTAAGGTCTAATCATCCGGGATTGAACAATCTGTATTGAATCTGTACTCGAAAATTGGAAACTTTTAAATTACTAACAGATTCAATATAATAATATCGCAATAATAATATTGTTTGCATCAACTATTATTATCCAAAAACAATAATTATTGATGTAATCCAAAGATAATTGTTAATGTGATGAATAAGGTGTTGATTTCGATCCAATCAAGATTCCAACAATTAATAGATTGCAATTTAATCTAAAGATAGTAATTGTTAATGTGACGAATAAGGTGTCGATTTCAATTCTATCAATCATCATGATTCCAGCAATCAACAGATTGCGAAGTAATGATCGACGAGTGAGTTTCGATTGTATCATGTAGTACGCGAGTGCACCGTGACCTACGATTTATGGGCAGGGGAGGGATGATTAGGCTCCTACGGTAGGATTTATTTTACGATCGCGCCACTTCGGCGCGTCCATCACGCATATCTTTGACATATCACGCTAACTATAAATTCAAATCGATTAGCGAGCTTTCAAAGCACTTCGGTTCATTCAGGTTGAATAAAAAATCGCTTGTTATACCGGATATTCTAGACAACTCCGCCGGTGCCGGGGAGAAACCCGTTCGATATGTCGACGCAGCACAAACTGATGAGTAAGTCCGATCGTTGCTTGAATTTTCTGACAAAAGACCTCCGTACCTTTGCTTCGCAGATTCACGATGGCTCTCGTGATGTTACCGTGCGACCTGCCCTGGTGGCCGGCTGTTGTGAAGCAGCTGGACAAAGCCGCCGCGGCTGGGAAGTCTGAGGAACTGATAGACGCGATGCAGCGACTGCATGACATGTGCAAGTACGTTACACTCGCATCATCTATCCCCGCGGCACACGCGTTTGTCTTTGGTGTTTACTGTATAGGACGTTAGCACAAGATGAATGTATGCAAAAAAATTTTTTAAGCATTGTGTTCTAAATAAAAATGTTTGCGTTTACACTCACCCTGTGCTTGGCTCTTACAGGCCTTATTTTATTTTAAATTACAAGTAGAGAGAATTGTGAGTTAACTCTTCGAGATAAAGACAAGTCGGCACGATTACTTTCGTGTCTGAAAAAGAAACGTTTGGCTTTGTTCAGCATAAGCCTCGACCCCGAGGAAGACGTGCAAGACCCCAACTTGTTCGCCGAATTGGCGACCTTCCTAGATAAAGACCTTGACCTCGCGGAGAGGGAGCAGGTGTTCACGAAGACAATACCGCGGATGGTGGAGAGGGCGAAGGCTCTGAGATCTACCAAGCCGCCGCAAGGTTTACACTTTAGCCTCCAGCAACAAGGTACGGCTACCGCGAAATCTCCCGGCGAAGTCCCTTGGGGAATTGTGCGGTCAACGTGTACTCGAGAGTCTGTTTGTTTCGCGCAGGTGATAGCGTCGAGTACAGTTACGCCTTCGTCTCTTCCTTGATCGCAAACGCATTTTTCTCGACATATCCGAAGAGAACCACTAAGACACATCCCACGTTGCGCGACTTCAACTTCACGAACTTCTTCAGACATCTTCATAAGTGAGTAACTGTCGACCGGACAGAATCCTTGGAAGAGTCTACCAAACGACTCCAAGAAAAAAGCAATAACGCAATAAGCATAAGTAACATTACGTCTATGTTATAATTACCCACTCAACGATATAAATATGACATAACACATGTTGTACGTAACAGTTAATTATTGATTGAGAAATTATGACATTGATGTCATATTATTGTTACTCGATGTTTAAATTTTCGTATTTTCTCTTTTTCCAGAAACGCACAGAAAGCTAAGCTCAAAAGTATCTTTCATTACTACAATTATCTCGAGACGGAGCATGCACTCGACGGCCGCCTAGTAATATCCAGACAGGTACTTTCCTTGTGGTAATTAGTTAAGTTTAAAAAGTTAACTTCTAATAACCTCCGTTCCGAAATATTTTTATATCTTCGTCAAGCAGTCGCGCGTTACTTCGTAATGATTTGAAAATTTCGATATTACGAAAAGTAGTTTTGATCGAGACAACAATATTTTAATCCCTGCAATTCGCAGGTGATGACGTCTAAACAGTGGTTAACTATCGAGGACTGGCTGGAAAGCAACGTACCTCTGTGTCCGTTGACTATACGCCATGAAGGTCGGTTGGATAGGATGGAGACGGAGTCGAAGGTGCTGCATGTTTGCTTCGCGAACGCTAGAATCGGTGGCGGAGTGCTCGATGGGGATGTCACGCAAGAGACTGTACATGTAAGCATAAATTATAAACAGTTAAACGCGTCAACGTGTACAGGTCGAAAAAATAAAAGAGATAATTACCTCGCGGCTCGCGCGATCTGCTTACGACATCATATTGAGATTAGTAGCATTTAATTATTTACGATAATTAATGCAGAGTTACGATATGACTTCGTGAATCGTCTGTCCTAATGTTCTCTATTCGTCTTTGAAAAACCTAAAATTAAATTCGATTGTCCGATTACGTGCTTTTTTCCTTCTTTGAGAAATTCTTTCATACTATTTTTTTCTATCCCGAAAATACGAAAGTTTCGCGAAAGCATTCTTTCCTACTTGCATAAATAAAAAGTAAAATTATATACATATATGAAAAGAAATAGATAAAAAATAATCTTTTTTAGGTGGCGACGCATCCCGAGATGCTCGCAGCGATACTATCCGTCGAGGCCTTAGAAGACAACGAAGTACTGATAATCGAAGGTGTCAGGCACATGTCGAGGATAAACGATCCGCGACATAAGGCGATCTTCGAAGGCATGCCAAAGCCGAACGTGGTGAGTGAATGAATGAGTAACTGACTGAGTGAGTGAGTGAATGAATGAGTAACTGACTGAGTGAGTGAATGAATGAGTAACTGACTGAGTGAGTGAGCGAGTGAACGCGCGCACGCGCGAAGAAGTCGTTCCGCGTTCGCGATCCGTTCGCGACATGCTTGGAAAGCGAGGTGAACAATCGTACAGTTTCCCGAGCGCAGGTAACGGTCTGCTGCATAGACCCCGAGGACTACTCGCGACTACCGCTGACGCAGTTCGAGGAGGATAACATTCTGCGCGAGATGAACAAGTCGCTGCTGGGTTTCCGCCAGCGATATGTGCCCAGCAGTCCCACGGATCCCATCAAAACGGACTCTGAGACGGAGATCGGCCTAGGCTCGCGCAGACTGTCGCCGATCGGCGAAAGCTTCAGCAGCACCCCGCCGGAAACGGAGGGCGAGGATAAGGTCTACGGTAATTTGAAGACAGGTGGGGACTAACGCGGAAGAAGGCGACTCGCGTAATTCACTTAAATTATATTTCACTCGCTCCTCTGTAATATTACCTCCTTTTTCTGTTTTTCTCTTTCTTCCCCTTCCTTTCTTTCTCTCTCTTTCTTTGTTTCCTTCTTTCACTTCCGGTAAGCAGATAAACAACCCCCACGCGACGACTGCAACAAATTAGACGACGCAACGCAGGAAGTACGCAGCAGGCCTAACGGTAAATCGATGAGACCGCCGAGCCCGCACAAGGTGTGCAAGGACGCGAGCTGCACGAACGGCCGCAGGAACCGCTTCATCGTGCTTGGCTCGAGCGGCGAGGTACTGCCGGTGACGCGCAAATCCCTCGGCCAGATGTCGGTCTACAGCAGCTGCAACAGCCAGAGCACTGACAGCTTCCACAGTGCCAAAGAGACCATCGACGAGGAACCCGGTGCGGCACACGCGTGTTTTACACTAGAAACAAAGTGGAACGATTAGAAGAGGAGTTTTCTTACGGAGTGAACATTTTTCAGGGGAGGAGGAGTACAAATTGACGAAACGTTACAGCGCACAACTGGACACGCCTGAGAGACGGGGAACCTTCGCGCAGCGACTGAAGGACGCCTTAAAGCGGGAGAGCACGGCGACCGGCGCAACTTCTTCCAACACCTCGTCCGGAGAGAGCAGTTATGCTGTTGGCATCAGTGTCAGCGGCAGCCACGTCTGCGATCAGGATATCAAGTGAGTTCATAGAGTAGCTGCCAAGCCAAGGGATGAAAGGATATGCGTTAATTTCTTGCAATGTCCGGTGATATTCGAATGTGAAGCAAATGATCGTATTCTTTAACTACGTACATTAGATAATTTTATAATACACCCTGTTACATGCATTGGGTTTAATATATTTATAGGGTAAAAAGAGGGGGCTCGAGAGGTTTCGTCCTTCGCGACGAGACAGTGGATGAAGAGTTCTTGAAGGAATCCCTGGAGGCCGAGCAGAAGTGGCTCGGCCGATTTCGACAGAGTCAAGGGCCTATGTTTCAACGGAAAGACACAAGTGCGAGCAGCAAATACAGTTTTAGCACCGAGTACAATTCCGGCGAGTATTCGAGTGAAATTTCTCAAAAGAACGAACAAACAAGCGACGAGGAATCAGTTGTGATAGAGGAACTTACGGACAAATCTTGCAGATTTCTGTTCTGAGCTGGAAGAAGTCTACGAACAGCTGTCCAAGTGGCTGGAAGACCCGATAGTGGCGGACGAGAGCCGGGAGCTAGATGCGAGGGATCGGGCGGTGGTGAGATTCGCCGGTTCGCTTCTGAAGCGCGCTCTGAGCGAGTCGTTCGCCGGTGTGCCGGTCCAGGAAGGAGAGCCTCAGCCATTTATCGACTCGAACGACGTGAACCAACGGCACAAACTGGCGTTGGCCGTGAGGAGCCTCAGCTTGGAGCTCGCTCGTCAAAAGAACCGAAGGCAGCAATCAGTAAGGCACAGTAGATTCTTATGGAAACATCAGCTTACGGCGTGCCTGCAACAGAATGGCTGAATTAAAAGGAGATCCAATATATTTTGCGAAACGATTTGCTCAACGGTTAATCTTCTGGCTCTGGAAAAAGACATCGGCAAACTGAACCTGAAGAGGGTTACTGATGCATCTAATTGCTTAGTAATAAACTGTAATTAAATGTATATCTTTTGAAATATGATAGAAAGCGACGAAATATGATGATGAGCGAGTGGTACTTTCTTTTTTGTTTTAAATTAGTGTCCTTTTCTGGAGCCAAAGAAGAACTAGATAAGCAAGTTTGTCATGTTTACTTACACTTTACTCGCTGATTAAAGATCACAAACGCTCATAACCGTGAGAACGTACGACAGTCCTTGAATGCCTCGTAGCGCACATTAAGGTGGAATGAGAGACAGTCCACGAGTTGATTCGCGTCAAAGCAAGACTAATCTAACGCGGACTATTCGGCGAACGAAATGCCGAGATTCTGAATTTCGACTATAGGCAAGACGATATGCTATACAGGTGTCTGAATCGGAAGGTGTAGATCGCTACGAGGACGCCTCGTGCGAGATGGTAAGAGAGGCGAAGGACTCCCAACGTAGGAAACTTTGGGCCGTTACGTTCACGTCGGAAGTGTTCCAAACGTTGGTTGATGATCAGACCACCGTATACCTGTCCTGCACGCCGGCGGCGAAGGCATCGAGCCCCGTCGGCGCCTCGAGCCGAACGGCGAGCGCAAAATGCGTTCCGGCCGGTGCCGAGGTGATTCTGGACTTGACCCGTATATCGCGTGTAATCGCATGAGGCGGTGACTGTGTTTTCCTGTTCTCTTCTTTCTCTGTTGAATCGTCTGTGTTTGAGAGATTGGGGAGAAGAGAGAGAGAGAGAGAGAGAGAGAGAGGGAAAAAATTGGAAGTGCACCGTGTCCGAAATGTTTCCTGAAATGCCTCCGTCTCTCGAATGTGAACGTGCTCGTCGAGACTTGAGAATTGTTTCGCGAGTCTCTCCGTGACTCTTTCCTCCTTTCTTCGACTCGATGCATGCCGGACGAGCAGAGCTCTCTTTCATCTGACATGTTTCAAGATCCTCGCGACTAATCATATTTATAAACGAATATATCTGTTTGTCTCTCAATCTATCCAATTTTCTCTCCGCACTCATATTTCTAGCTTCTTCGTTCTTCTCAATATAACCGCCGCACTGGAACGCCACTGGAAGTCGTCCTCTCTTCGTGGTTGCGACGAATACGCGGGAGTCCATGCGAAACTAAAACAAAAATAACAACGTTCAGCTTCTCCTATATCGCGCGCATCTCTGTCGACTTTAATATGCCGTTCGATAATTGCATCGTTAGCGACAATTCCAATCTCCGCCGTTTTTACTAACCGCAGTGTTCTCTGTATCAGGGAGAAAACTTAGCGACACAAAGGCGAGAAAATCACTCACAACGGATTGCATTACCTGTGCGTAGTTGCCGCGCGAGAACAGTCCTCAGGGCGGAGGATTGCTACCAGTAGCTACCGGTAACTGGGGATGCGGGACTAGATTGAAGGGTGATCCGCAGCTGAAACTGGTCATTCAATGGCTCGCATCTTCACTGGCGGGCGCGCCCAGATTAATTTACTACACTTCGGGTAATGCCAGACTGTCTAAGGTGAGAAATAATGTTAACAGTAATTTATCGCTCGTTATCCTCGAATCAGCATCAAGGATTCAAGTATTCGACGGATAATCGTGAATCTGACAATAATCTCCTCTCAAAAACTGTAATAATTATTAAAAGAAACTACCCAGTAAGCAAAAACTCATCGACAGAACGTTGCAACGATATTCAATAATATATAATATTTCCTGATATGTAGTTTTCAATGTTGTATCAGCATTATTGCGAATAACTTCAATATTTGTAAAACATTCTTACAATATTCAAAGAGACCATATTATCTGGCAATATTTCTGAAATATTTATAAAATATTAAGTAAGAATGCATTCAAGAGATACGCAAAACATTTCATAACATTTCAAGATATTGATCTAAAATATTTTTTGTTTACCGGGTATTTTCAGTAAGCACCAACTTACAGAATAACATTACATCATCACATTACATTAATTACTCATTCAATAACGTAAGTGCAATGTAACATATATTGTATATAATAGTTATATTGTTGAGAGAGAAATTATGATGTGTGTATGTTGTTGTGTGTGTATTGGATGTACTGTTACTGTCAGTTGGCGTATACTGTGTTTACTGTATGTAGGCGTATGATTATTTCTAATAGTATTGTAGTTACCTATTACGTACAATACTCAGTAAGTATTTACGTAATTACTATTACTATACATATTACTATATATTACTTTTATATAATTATTATTACTATGGTAAAGTTTTTTTAAAATATTCACCAATGCGCTAAAATTAAACGGGCGGTAAGCGCATCTTCTGGGTTTTTCATCAATTTAGATCTTGTATGAAATAATAATTCAAGTACTTTATCATATGAATATTATACTATTGATACATGATACATTCACTGTTTGAAATTTCAACAGCATGAAGGAGCGTTCAGTAATTTATGCTGATATTCTAGTTGGACACTGTGAGCAGAGTGCTGATGGACAGACGATGGTCGGTGGGCGATTTGGCAGCTGCGACTCTCAGGTTCGCCGTGCAGGCGATCGAGGAGCGGGTCGAGGGCAAAAACAGTCTCTTCGAAGAGATAATCGGTATGGACAAGCCGAGTCCTTAGCCCGACACGATGCTGTCCGTTCTGGTGGACGTGCTGGCTACCATGATCGAGGACGGCCTATTGCGAACCTAATAATATATATAAATATCAGTATCCCCTCCGTGGGGAGAAACACAAAAACAAAACGGGTATTTAACTGTAGCGACGCAAAGTCGAGAGAACTATTCTAATTCGTAGCTTTAGATGAAACGTATTATAACGAGTTTAAATGATTACTCACTACAGATATCGAGTCTTTAGCGAGCCTTGATTTCTTGTAGAAGCAGAGAGAACTGCTCTCTTTTTCTCTCCGTTTTCATTCTCCTTCTGTTTATACTGTTACTCGTCTAGCATATCAAAATGATATCAGGCAAACTCGCACAATTCATTGTACAAGGCAATATATCAAATAGAGAGACGTAGTGTCGCTGCGATATTTTCTAGTCTGTAAATGTAGAAGTGTTTGTCTGTCGATGCGGCTCGCACGCCTAGAATCGCTCTCGTTGCGTTCCTCCGAGAAGTGATGGGCGGCGAAAACCGTATAATATTGGAAGTTCAGTTGTCGTTTAATGTCACATCGTCATAAGAGAGTGTGGGAAGCGCTTTATGGCTTCGCGCGCTAACGGTCTAGTCGATGTGTACGAGAGGTCAATTCTGATTTTACTTCATATACGAAATGAGTAACTGGACACAGTTACATGCAATAATTAACGAGGCACAATATACTAAACTATATTTTGTACAATAAATATTTATATATATATATATATATATATATATATATATATATATATATATATA